TCCTTAATCATTTCGGATTCGCAGTAAACAATTTGCTTGAAATGCAGATAAACAAAGCTGTCAGTGTTAGGATAGACAAGGAGGAAGGTAAGTAATGGTTCAACTACAATGAAAAATAATAGTATTTATATTATAATGTGCTCAGTGGTGATTACTTGAAATATTCAGTTAGTACAACCAGTGATGGCTTTAGGATTGAAAGTTAGCTAGGGCGGACGTTGACCGTCGATAGTCCACGTTTATAATAGTGGCACCGTTTATTAATATTTAATTAAATAATATTAAAATCATTCAATCTATTTGTAAATACACTAAAACGTAAAAATCATATACATATGAAAATATAATTCAATACAATCCAAAATAATAAAAACATACATGATACAATCTCACTCAGTAATTGTAAACTTAGATAATAGCATTTTACGTGGTCTCATATTTTGAAAACATCGCATGACTACCGCATTCTCAATTTTTTCAAAAATCACTTTCTCCATGTAAACCACCAAATTGTCATTCAACTAGTCATCTTTTATTTTGTTGTACAAGTTATAAGATTATAAACCAATGGAAAATAACAATAACTTCTTTTTTCAACCAACTTCTAAACTACAAAAGATATGCTATTGAGGTTAAAGAAAGCTTCATCCCATCTCATAAGCATAAAAAATTTGTCAAGTTGAGGTCTGAGTAATAAGTGTTCTTCACTGTTAAAGTCCAAATGATAGAACTGAGCAAGATGTAGCAATTTAGCCATATCAAAAACTACAAATGAATCTCTTGAACTTAAATATGATATGCAAGTAATGAGCTTAGTAGTTGTCTCTGGAAAACGAACTCTTGCAAGATTGAGTCTATCACATGTCAATATAAATCAACATATAAGCCATGCTAATAAGTCACCTATTGAGCTGCACTCCTAGGTCAGCTTCTCAATACTACAATATCCTCCATATTGGGCACTACATTATATTTACCAACACAAAACTCAATCACCCTATTCAATAAATTATCCCAATCATTGTCATTCATGTTTTGCAATGCATACTTACACAAATTCAATAATCCCATTGCATTCTGAATATCGTTATCCTTTTTCTGTAAGGTTTGTGAAAGATCATCTATAATTGTAAGAATTTCAAACATAAAGTGGAGACTGAACACAAACTTAAAATCTCGTATAGTGCTCAACTATCTAATGGCTATTGATCTCTGATCTAAATTTATGTTATCTTTAGATATATCCTCAAGAACATCTATGATAATATTAAATATATTAATAACACAAGTAATTGTCTGTAGATGTGAGCCCCATCTAGTATCACCTGGGCGTTCCAAACTCATTTTTTCAAACTTACCATGCCACCACAACGTTCCCCAATATTAAGCCTTTCCAAAGCATCATAATGATAATTTGCTCGAAGAGCATCTACATGCTTACATGATGTACCAACCAAAATTAAAATAATAGAAAGCATGTGAAATAAATCACCTAGTATATCATTCCTACGTGCCACATAAACAATTGCCAACTAAAGTTGGTGAACAAAGCAATGAACATACATATCATATGGGTTCTTTCTTAAAATTAAAGCTTTCAACCCATTGAACTCACCTGACATATTGCTTGCTCTATCATAACCTTGATCTCTTAGGCTAGATATACTCAGCCCATATATAAAACATTACATCAATGGCATCCTTTAGTGATTGGGCACAAGTATTAATAACATGAGAAATGCCCAAAAAGGCTCCTTCATTTGTCCACTTTTGCCCACAAATATAAAAAAACAATTGTCATTTGTTCCTTATAGAATTATCACAAGCTTAATCAACCAAAGTTGAAAATAAAGAATCACCCATCTCATTCATAATAGCCCTTGTTATCTCTATGGCACAATAGTTAACCAAATCCTTTTAGATGTTTGGTGAAGTCATTTGGTCATTTTAGGGGGCATTAGTAAATACTACTTAACTTCCTCACAACGAACTACACACCAATCTAGTAAATCAATTAGATTTCCTCTATTAAGGGATCTTTCGATTCATCATGACCATGAAAATGCAATCTTTGCATCAAGAGAAATCTAGTTCAATCTAGCACTACAGTCAACCTCGTCTTATAACCTTTTTGTTGGCTACTAAGCACAACAATTAACCAAATCCTTTTAGATGTTTGATGAAGTCATTTGGTCATTTCAGAGGGCATTAGTAAATACTACTTAACTTCCTCACAATGAGTTGTACACCAATCTGGTAAATCAATTAGATTTCCTCTATTAAGGGACTCTTTCGATTCATCATGACCATTGAAAGACAATCTTTGCATCATGAGAAATCTAGTACAATCTAGCACCGCAGTCAACCTCATCTATAACCTTTTGTTGGCTACTACTTTGGCTAGAAATAACATCGGAGATGCTTTGTTTTTGATTCATCAAGTTGGTAATCTTAGGGAAAGCTTGATTGTGAGACTATCAAAGAGACCGACATGGCCTTTCAAAGTATTTTCATGCTTCCAATCCCTAAAGTCGGTCTTAGTGAATGCATGTCCATCCCATTAACCCCTTTTATCGAGTTTGAACAAGTAGCAATATAAACAATAAGCCATGTCCTTCTCTATACTATACTCCAACCAATAAAATTCGAAAAACCATTCTTTCCTAAAACACCAATTATCATTTTCCATCGGCCTTCTTGGGAAGTCAAGTACATGTGATTGACAAGGACCCTTTTCCAAGTATACCCAACATTTCTGATATTAGGATCATATGACTCGATAGGGAGATGTTTCCCTAGCCCAGATACAACTGCATTCTCTCTCGTTCCCTTTCTTATCCAGCTGCATTCTCTCTTTTCCCTTCTTATTCTTCTACTTTCTTTCCCCTTTTATTTTGCTTTATTAAGATATAAAATGAAAGTCAACCAAGTGTCTAACATGCCAACCTACTTAATTCATTCAAAAATAAAACGTAAAAGTCTATACATTATTGACTATATTATTTTGCATTATAGACAGACTATACATTATTGAATATTGAAATATATTAGAATCTTCTTTTCTCCTTCGGTCTTTCTCCTTCTTATTCTTCTACTTTTTTCTCTCACTTAATACCTTTCTTCTACACATTATCCAAACATTATTCTTCTATTTTCTTCTCTCACAATCATAATAACCCATAACATACCAAAAAATAAGCGAGATGCAAGACTTACAAACTACAGTCACTGAAACCAGAGACAGAGAGGTCGGCTTCGATTGCTCGTCAATAGTAAGAGCACTCATAGAGAATGTCGGGGTTGAGTTTGAAGGAGTGTAGGATGGAGGAATCGTGGCAGGGTTTGCAAATTGCATTGGTTTGGAATTGAAAATTGGAATGACGTAGTGGGTAGTGCATTTGATAATTGATTTTCAATTGAACCACACTTATTATATTTGGACTTGATTTTTTTTTTCCCAAAACAAGAGGCCCAAAACTTTAAAAAAAAAAAA